AGTAGATGATGTAAAAAGAAAGCCAATCGTAACTAAGCCATTCGACACCGATACTCGTATAGCAATACAACTTTCTAAATCAAACTTAGAACAAGACGTAATTAATGCCGTTAAAGAATACGTTAATCCAAAAGTTAAAACTGGCATTCTTATACAACCCCCTCTGGGTATGTATGAAATCATCCCCATTATTCAGAATCAATTTAGAAGTTCCGCCATGTACCTCATGTTAAGTAAAGTAGAATTGGAAAATGTTAAAGATTATCTTCGCCAACAGGAAATAATACACAATTACCATGACGGTAAGACCAACCATCGTGGTATTACGGAATGCTATCTTGCCCTTTCACGCAGATTTTACTGGCCAAAAATGAAGGAACACGTAACAAAATTTATAAACGACTGTACCACTTGTGGGCAGGCGAAATACGATAGAAACCCTATCAAGCCAAAATTTAACATTGTACCCCCAGCCATGAAACCTTTTGAGACAGTCCACATGGACTTATTCACAGTACAAAACGAGAAATATGTCACTTTCATGGATGTCTTTACGAAATATGGTCAAGCATACCACCTACGCGATGGAACTGCCGTTAGTGTCATCCAAGCTTTATTGCAGTATTGCACCCATCACGGAGTCCCTATTACTATAATAACCGATAATGGTACCGAATTTACCAACCAGCTCTTTGTCGAATTTACGAAATTTCATAAGATAAACCACCATAGAATTCTGGCACATTCCCCTAATGATAATGGCATCATAGAACGCTTTCACTCCACGCTACTAGAACACCTCCGTATCCTTAAATTAAAGCAAAAAGATGAACCAATCGTTAATCTCATACCCTATGCCCTAATAGCATATAATAGTTCTATCCATAGCTTTACAAAATGCCGACCCTTTGACCTAATGACGGGACATTTCGACCCACGAAACCCGATCGATACTGACATCACAGAACGACTACTGCAACAATACGTTCAAAACCATAGCGAACTAATGAAAAAGGTTTATGATGTTATAAATGAGACATCTCTTGCTAACCGTACCACTATAATAGAGAACAGGAATAAAGATCGGGAACCCGAAGTTGAATACTCCCCGCAACAACAGGTATTCATTAAAAATCCTTTAGCCAGCCGACAGAAAATCGCTCCGCGTTACACGCAGGATGTTGTCCTTGCGGACCTTCCCATACATATATATACCTCAAAGAAACGTGGGCCAGTAGCTAAATCGCGACTGAAACGCGTTCCTAAAGGTACTCAATTGTTACAGGACTCTTTTATCACTGATGATCCCCCTGACGCACGCCCTGGAGATAAAACTTGAGAGCTTAGCCGACGGACCTGGATTACTGCCATACAAACTTGGACCAATGCGACTCATTACCCATCACCACACCTAATTGAAGACAAAATTGACTCTTTGAAAAGACAATTACATACGTACGAGATACGACTAAATAATGACACCTTCCTTTTATTCGAAAACCAGATTGACTATCTCCTAGGTAATTTAGATAAAACATCAAATCAATTAAAATCGTTAGAGCCCGTTAGAGCTAAAAGAGGTCTTGTAGATGGTCTTGGCTCGGTAATCAAAAGTATAACCGGGAACCTCGATCAATCAGATGCCGTTCATTATAACAATCTTATTAAAGAATTACAGATTAACCAAAATAAGGTAGTGTCTGAATTAAATAGTCATGTGAGTCTTAATAAAGATTGGATAAGTCACCATAGTAAAGTTTTGGACACATTGGTTGAAAATCAGAGTAAAATTAATACAACGTTAGAAATACTACTAGATGTAAATGCCGATAAAGAAAAGAGTTTAATTCAAATCGCAAAATTTTCCCAGATTTTGGCAATTTTGAGTGAAAATGTAGAAGACTTAAAATACGAACTAATTAGAATAGAAAACTGTTTATCTTTTATACGTGCTGCGAGCACGCACCATTCTATGTTAGATATTAATGTCCTTAGGAATATGATAGATAAGTTAAAATTAATGTATGGAAGAGATAGAATTTTAGGACTAGAACTTAGAGAATATTATGATATAATACGACCAGGTTTTTACTATGTAGACAAACAAATAATTATAACTTTTCAATTTCCCATAGTTTCAGTAGACGTATACGACCTTTTTAGATTATCTGTAGTACCTAATAAACATAGGCAAGCCCTTATCCCTTCTTACCCTTTCATAGCAACTCATGAGAACGTATTCGTGTACATGGAGGCAGAATGCCCGAAGTTCAGTCACAGTTACCTCTGCAATAAAGGAACCAACCTTCAACTCCGGGCTACCCCAGACTGCGTACACCAACTAATAATAAACCAAGACTTACAGGAATCCTGCCAAGTAACAACAGTACTACTACAAAAGCCAGCAATGGAACAGCTCGATGATCAGCACTACGTCGTCTCGTTCCCTCAGCCGACGAGAGTTCAATTAACATGCGAAAGAGAAGATTACAATTTACTGCAAGGGAGTTACCTAGTGACTATTCCCCTCAATTGCTATCTACGGACCGCAGAGTTCACCATTACGAATGACAAGGACGAAATAAAAGGTCATCCTCTGAAGCTCACTAAAATCCCATATGACGTAATGAAACAAGTTGCAACCCCAAGCCACGTACACCTGAAATCTATTGATTTGAAAGGACTACACAACGTCCAGAACAAACTTTTAGTCGAGCCTCCCTTAACACTCGATACAAATGAAACCAATGTCCTATATCACACAACGATACCCCTATATGTGATAATAATAGGTGCATGCGCACTCGTTATAGCCATTAGAAGCCGAAGACGCAACTTATGGAACTGCAAACTTCGAAACGCCCAAGAAGCCAAACCAACATTCAATCAGACTCTCGAAGACCCTGAAAAAGCTGAAAATCATATAGGTGGCCTACCAGCAATATTTTCACTAAACGTTAGAAAATAATTGCTCATCTGAGGGTGGAGGAGTTAGATATCGCAGTACAAAGGAAGCCGCCGACTCCACAGTTCTACAGAACGAAGGCACAGCAAATGCACCGATCACGAGGCGCTGGATCAGCACACGTGTCGCGTTTTACCGGAACAACGTAATTTCTCAGTCAACTCACTTTTGGTTCAACCTTCGTACAATTGTCACCTATCCTTACAAATTAATATTGTAATTTTATTTCTTTAAAATTAAATTAGTTATAAAAACTTTTGGTTTTTTTTCGAACCTTCGGCTGCAGTTATCTTAATTTGCTATATATAAGGCTAAGGTGTGTTTTTTTTTAATAAAGATATTAATATAGTAAATAATACTAATAGGTAAAGTTTTAGTAGTAATTTACTACTAAACATCTGCCATTTCAGATTTCGTTTTTATTGTCTAGTTAAAATGATATTCGTTTTTTACTATATGTATGAAAATCTATAATGCTAACGACCACACGTTATGAAAATCCAAAATGAACTAATTAATGGTAATTTTGGTACCCAGGTATTAATATGAAGTGTTAATTATTGAGTATAATACGGTCTAATCATCATAACAACTTCATTATCATTCAATTTTTTGTTTGTTTACCTACCATATTTTAATCTTTTGTTTGTACCTATTGTAATGAAATAGACTAAATTTGTCAAAATTTGAGAGAGGACACTGCCTCCAGTCACACAGGTTTGTAACCTAGCTCTGGAGTCAGGGACTTCATTATAATATTGTACTATTTTTGTGACAATAAACATTATTATTATTATTATAATTCAAACTAACAAATACGGGTTCAGACTCCATTATTACATTATTTAGGTATTTATTGAATATTGAGGACTCAAATCCTAACATAAATTATAAAAAGTAATCCGTTTATGAACTGTAACTACAAATTCGCACCAATTTTTTTCACTCATAGTTTTTTTATGATATTATGTATATCCTGCCTACATTTTTGTAAATATCATTAATAATAATGTACATAATATGTATATAGTATGTAATACATTGCGAATAAATTACAAGTGCGCAGCAGAAATACAATGAGATAATATGACAATATATCGAAAAGAAGGCGCCAAAAGTATGTACAGTTAAATTTAACATTAAAAGATTATAAATACAAAAACTTACCTAAATATTTGTAGAGAATGCTGCGGTTCACTTCAAACCAATTTAAAAATTATGGTACAAACGTTATGAATAGACAAAAAGTCAGCTAGAATATTAGTTTTAGTGTAAATGACACTCGAAGGTGAATCCAAATACACCCTTTAGTTTGTCGTTTTATAATAGTGTATAACACAACGTTTAAATAAGAATTTGTAAACGCTGCGCCCGTTTGACCGAATATTTCAAATGTATGGCCAAGTGATTAATCACGTGGTTTGGCTACGTCTTTTTCTAAAACTATAAAATTTAACGGAAAACTGACTGGGAAGAAACTGGAAAGAACGAAAAACTGGGATCCTATACTAACTGCCTCCGTAGCCGAACGGTTACTAAGGGTCGTATTCTAGAACTCTACTCAATGCTCAAGTCAGGATTTGAGTATGGTTTAAAGCACTCGAAATCATACTCAAGTCCCTGCCATTAGGGTCTTATTTCCAGTGCAACCCTGACTTGAGCATTGAGTAGAGTTCTAGAATATGAGCCTATGACTGCCACGCAGAGGTCGGGACCTCTGCGTGACTGCATGGTTCGATTCCCGTGCCGGGAGAAAAATTTTATGGCCTACTTTTATTTCTCTCGTGAATTTGGGTGTAATTTGTGTTTGTCTATGTGTGTGTCCATGGCACCCGCGATACAGGGTTTCCCTAGTGCCATGAGTGTGTGCGCGATATTATTATTATACATTTGTTTCTACATTGTCTCTACTGGAGGTCATTGGATTTCATAATTTGATACCCAAAATGTGTTGAAATTTCGTTGTACCCACAGAGCGAGTAAGTACGGTCGGCATAAAATCCGTTGTATATCAGTCATTAATTGATATGCTTACCGCATATAAGTCAATTGTTGTAGCAGGTAAACCAAGACGAGATCTTTCCAGACACGTCTTCCTTCCGATGTTGCTTCCTAAGTTGATTACTGCGAAGTACCTAAGAACAAAATTCTAATTAATTTAGAGATTTTTACATCGCAGCATCACTATCACACATTACTACCTTATAATTATACTCTACAATTGTATCCCACGTGATTAAAATTTGTTATACTTTTTTTACCAATATATTTCATTTATGTACTTTACAAAACTACGTTTTGTATTTGTATAATTTTGTTATAATTCATATATCGATTATTACCTTACCTAACCCCCCTCGCTGTAACTTAATCTCACCTTAATGATGGGCACAGTCTCCTTGACACCAAGTCCAAATTTGTCAACGTTGATAAATAGTCAACTACTTTATTTCCATGACAATTGTTCACGATCATATATATACCCTCGACTGGTCCAATGTGATTGCTTACATTCAAAAGATTCGTCACGCCCTTCGTGTCTAAGTCTGCAGTTGCGATTTGCACGTTCACGCCATTCTTTTCCCATGAACTAAAACAATATTAAGATTTATAACTTCAAGATTAGATCATTAATAAATCGTCACATTTAAAAGGATCATACCGAATTTTTTGTCGAAGATAGCCAGAGGATGAGCAGATGTGTAATAACAATTTCTTCGCTCCGCGACGAACCAATCTGTCAGATAATTGGATGCCAACGATTTCGTCGGCACAAACCACCACGTGCGAAAGTGCTGGCGAACAGGTGACCCTGTAAATGAAAACATAACAGCAATATGTATTTTCTGTTTAAAAAAGACTTTAGAAGCTTTTTAGAAATCAGCGTTTAAGGAGTGCCACCGGAGGAAAAGCTGAAAAATTGTTTTGCTACACCGAACGGTTTAAGTATTTACTAATCATAATACCATTTGAATCGTATCACCTGCCTGGTGCTTAAAAATAACAATAGCTCGCAATATGTCTTCTACTTCTATTTTTTTTTTACTTACGGTTAATGCTTTACCCTCGTCGCCATTTAAAATGTCCGCTCCTACAAGTTATAGCGTATTGGTATTTGACTCGCCTACGCACCACCACGTGTGTCTGTGTTGACGGTCGAACACTGACAGACCCCTTCCACACCCACACATGTGACGAAGGCGTTCGAGACAAATCATAGACACTCCACATGCACTACAACACCTAAGGATATTGTCTAAAGAATGTGCTAATCTGTTACACGACAGGATGTACTTCACCCGATCATACAAAATCTTGAAAGTAGGCTAAAATAAAAATGTAAAACGAAATATCTAACTATGCTGTTAATTTTTATATGGAGATATTTCTCTTTAAGTTTAACAGAGAACTTGCTAAATTTTGGTTTTCAGCTGAAGCCCTATAGTTCTTAAATTCACATTTATCCCATAATTTGAAAATTGCCCAGCGGTTCAACGACGCGTCGCGCCGCCCGCTGCCCCGTCAGTCGCCATCCGGCGCTTGTCAACGTCGGATCTGAGTCAAATTTTCCTGTTCTTATTTTATTCATATTAATTTTGAATTCACACCTCGCACCCTAAAATATAGGCTCACGTTGACATATCTCGCTTTAAGGTAACACGAAGGCAGCCCGTTCCGACCGACGTGTCCTAAATGCTGATCTGGGAATTAAATGAGATCTGAGAAAAGTTCGGAGTATCGATTCTTACCTTGACTGCCAGACTGGCACTTTCTGGTGCATTCGCAGTAATACTCGGCCACGATGAGCCGATGAAGCCAATAGATTCAACGCACGTGGAACATCAACTGCGTCGTAGATAACTCGCGACAGAGGACGCACAAAACCACGGGCGATACCTTCGCTCATCAAAGTTTGAATCGCCTGAATAAACCATAAACGTCTTTTTAGTACGCATAATATTTTGCTTTCTATTCTAAGTAAGATATTGAACTGATTTGCAAAGACCGAGCAAGCTCAAATTGCTCTTTAAACGACAGAAAAAAAAGAAGTACAGAAAGAACTGGTTTGTTATTGATATACTCGTCAATATTATCTAATAGATTAATAGATCTTAATCGTTTGTTGCGTACTTTGATAGCCTCAGGATCGCTGAAAAGGTCGTTGAAATTAACGCGCGCGTAATTTCGACCACGAGTTAGGTAAAACATCTTGTAAGTAAAGTTTTCTTGGCTGTTGATCTGATCGACATCGACCACGAAACCGGAATGCTTGCAAACTTTACAGTACATCTGGAAACCATCACATGTTATTTAGCAACAAATTAATTCTCAATCATTGACACAAATAAGTCCCACACAGGTCTTCTTGACCTGTAGAATTGCAAAATAGCTTTACCTCTTTAAGTTCCCCTTTAGCTGCTGTGACAACAACAGAACATCCCTTTCCATTGGTCTGAAGTATGACCATATCCGAGAATGAAGGGTCACGGGAATTGAAAATGTGATCCTCTGAAATAAATATCAGATAATGGATACCAGGAATGGATTCTTAAATTAAGAAGTTTCAGACTACACGCAGTACAAGTACTGTAAGTAATAAATAATACTTATGTCTTGACTATTATGCTTCACGTCGCCATGCACACCTTAAATTGTATTCTCAACGCTAAAAAATTGCTCATTATTACATCAAAATTAGTCATTTCGGTATCACATAAAATACACTCCCGGACACATATTTCGAGCCACCTTGCATTTTTAGTATTAAATGCCCTAAGCTTAAAAAATATGTTTGATTCATTGATTTACAAATAAATGGTCGACGGGTCTAATACAAAAACCACGAAAAAAATGTCCAAAGTCAACCTATTTAAACGTAGTGACATGTAAAGGAATATGAAAAAGCTAAAACGTTGAATTTAAATTGTAATGTCATCGCAGTACTGTCTAATTTTGCTTGCTTCGCTGTCAGCCGAACAAACGAAGACTGAAGCGTGAATGACGCTCTGTATACGATTTTGACGCCCTATAAGTTCAGACACTTTTTAGCGCGGACCCGACGTCCATATAATTGTAAGTCAGTGGTTTGATTGATCAAAAATATTATTGCAATTTTGAAGCTGGTTTACTAAACGTCATTTCCGTATATCCGTGCTGAAAATTTGATTTCGTAAAACCAGGAAAAAACGAGTTTAAGTGTCACAAGTCTTGAATTCACCGTTGTCAAATGAAATTCTAGTAAAGAAATTTCTATTCAGTAACTTGTAGTGCCCCCAAGAGCGTTGACAACGTCCGACATGCGATTTGGCATAGAATTAATTAACGTCAATATGAAGTGCTGTGGAATGTTCTCCCATTCTTTCTCAATGGCAACTTTCAACTCCGGTAAGGTTTGTGAGGTTGGGTGGTGATCTCGAACATGCCTTTTTAGCTCGTCCCATAAATGTTCTATTGGATTCATATCCGGGCTTCGTGCTGGCCATTGCATGGTAGTAATACCAACGTCATGAGTTATTCCGTGACGACTCTTGCAGTATGCGCTCTTGCGTTGTCATGCATGAGAATAAAATCTCGGCCTACAAAGCCAGCACATGGCGTTGCATGAATTTCGAGGCACTGGTGAATGTATCTGTCGGTATTTAATGGTGGCAGCCGCGGCCCCGTCACAACCTCAAGCGCAGTTTTGCCTTCGGTGGACATTCCTCTCCAGACTGTCCATGAACCCCCGCCAAAGCTAAATTTCTCTTCAAAGCAACACTGCACAAAACGCTCTCCTTGTCTTCGGTAGACCTTGTTTCTTCCATCATTACCATAAACCATAATCTTAGTTTCATCAGTGAAGAGTACCTGGCTCCACTGACGTGGAGTCCAATGCAAATTGGAGTTGCGCCATTCGATGAGCTCGTGTCAATTTGGGCCCGTTCGCTCGCTTATGTGGAGTTAGACCACGTTCCTTAATTCTCCTTCTCACAGTTCTAGCGCTAACAGGCACTCCATGAAAGTCTCGAAGCTGTACTTGGATCTGTACTGAAGTCAGTTGACGATTTCGTAAGCTCGTCGTGAAGATAAATCGATCTTGCCTTCCGTTGTCACTCGAAATCGTGGTCTGCCTTGACGGCGAACATAGCCGCCAGCCTCTAAGTACCGATGGTATAACCTTTGCACAGCGGAACGACTTAAATGCAGTTGTGTACATCCAGACTGCAAAAGTGCCACAGCTTGTGCGGCTACTTCAGGCGAAGTGTTCATAATACCTTCGAGAAATCTGGTTAAATTTAAAGGGAAAACAATGTAGTACTCCTTTATTGTTAAATAAAACAATTAAATAAAAAAATATTGAAATTATTTCATTTTGACTTGCACCTGACGCTCCCTTATTTCTTTAAAAACTTTTCTCCGTTTAATAAAACAATATTTTTATATTCTAGGTCTTTCAAAATAAAAATTCAAGGTGGCTCGAAAGTTGTGTCCGGGAGTGTATTTAATAGTTTTGTATATTTGAATAAGGTCCACCTTCTATCAAACTTATAATTGTTTTACCTTTCAGTTGTGGAAAGAGTCTAGTCAAAAAACGCTTCTTCGATATGTCGCTCACTGTAGTAAATACTTCGCTACCCGTCGAGAGCGCGATTGAGATTAGGGCTTGTCCCAATGCACCAGCTCCTCCGTGAATTAATATGGAATGCTTGTGTGCAATAAAGTCCATTTTCTGGCGCTACAAATTGAAAACATCGACACTTAGTCGAGTCGCGAATGATTTCAATCCGCAATAATCTACACTTATTTAGATTTTGCTACATGGCAATTTATATAAAGTATGTTTATGTGATACATAAATATTAGCTTTCGTCCACTACACAAAGATTATTAATTACCCTTTTGGACTTATCCCGTAATCGCGTTCCACCAAGGAAGGATATGAATTAGCGGTGGTGGTAGTTATCAAAAACCACGTAGCAACATGCCACATTATACTGCTGATAATAAGATTTAAGTATGCTTTGATGAGAAATAGAAGAAAGAAACTCAAAATACTAACAAGGATATAGTAAGCGTGAGCGAAAGCAGAGGGTATGGTGACAGCGTCTTCGAGGGTCCAGTGTTTAGGGACAGGCCACACCAGTTCGGGGATTGCTAACACCGTAGTACTTGCTGCACCTCTAGGTAGCAAACCCATCACTCGCTCGCCGCTATAACAAGAATAGGATAACATTTACACAACGTTTTGCAAATAAGATGGATTAATTATTAACAAATAAATATTAATGTGTAAATTACGAACATTTAGTATACCGGGTGGAACAGAATGACCGACAAAGCCGAAAACTGTGAAGAGTGTTAAATATGTACTTGATTGTACTGAAAATCTTTTTGCTGTAAGTGTAATATTTCAGAGTTATTCAACGACAAAGATTTGTTTAAAAAGTCTGTGTTGTCAACCCTGAACTTGAAGACAACCATTGGGAGGAACTCAGGGCAAAAATTTTGAACTTTTAATAGGTCGTTAACCTCCATTGATGGTCAGCTAATAATACTCTAATAAACGCTTCCTTCAATCAATCATGTGAATGATAGAAATCTTTAGTTAGAATTGTGTACATATTTCAATCATTATTCTGTATATTAAGTCATTATATTTGCACACTCCCATATATCGTTTTGTTTTCTTGGTAGCTTTTTGTATAATAAAATAAATCGTTCACTATGTATATATCCTATGAATAGTTATAATGTAAGAAAACCATACAAAACTGGTTAAAAGGATTAAATTACAATGATACCGAAGTATCTTTCGTTACATAACATTACATAATAGTTAAGATGCTAACTAATATAATTAAGTATTCATGTTTTATTGTAATTTATTGTTTTTGAACAAAATATATTGACTAACATTATGCTATAAGCACCGATTTGGATACCTACGATACAAGTAAGCAATTTTACTTAGTTTAGGTATATGACAAAACGTCTATGGGATTGTTGAATTTCCGCACTCTGGAATGGTATTTATATTTTTCATTGAGTAGGCGGATCAAATCACGTGAAAACCAAATGGGATATTTGTTATTGTTACATTTCTTTAAAGGGATGCATTCAGAAATTACAACACATAGTTGACTGTAAAAAAATTGTACCACGTCATTTATGGATAAACATTTACTAAATAATTCCAATCAACGGAACGCAATTTTGAAATAACTCTATTGTAGTCAGCCCTAAAAAAGTTCGGCCTAGCAGGAGTATTTACTCTCAGCCTAGGTTCACTAGCAACGTTAAGGCAGAAAGATAAAGGAGGGTGATGTGCGTTAATCTTTGATAAAGCGTTGTCGCTATCCACCGCGCAAACAGTCCCAACAAAGCCAGTGTTCAAGAATTGTAATTTTGAATAGAATTGAATTGACGAAGTTCATTAAACGCAATAAAATCTAGAAGTGCTGAATGCATCTCACTGCCAGTAGCAACGGGAATTGTGTGATGATGATGTGCAAAACACGCGACGAAATGGTGCAACGCCTGATGGGAGCTTTTGAAGAACTCCAGCAAAATGCCAATCAGATATTCTCGCGTGTGCGCCGGCACACACAAATACGTCTGCGGCTATGTCTGCGAAGGGGAGGTGGACATATTGAACACCGTCTTTAAGTAAGTAGGGGAGATCGGACCTGGACGTTCCCGGGGTAAGTTGTTCCCACAGCAATAACTTTGCAAGGAAAGATATAGCGATAATATGTCAAGCGCGTCGTTAAAACGTCAGATGATGTGTCTTGCTGGAAGCCACTTTAGTTACTCCGGCGGCGACGGAAGTGTGGCTATGCGCGTAGAGCTGTCAAAACATCACGTAAGTAAGTTTTTTTTGTATAAACTTTTTGGTCTGTCTTTGTTTATTAAGGACCGACTCACACGTAAATTTTTGAAAAATTGTAGTGATATTAGTAAGGTATCTTATTGTACTTAAAATTCTTATGACCATTTTTCGTTTTATTAAGGATGCGAAAGTACAAACGAGCTCATGTCAAATATTTTGACAAAGATGAAGACTTTCACTGCCT